TGAGTTATACAGATTGTTATAAACATTGCTTCACATGAAAAAAAAATGCCCTTGGCTTTGATGAATGATTCGCTTTTATAAGGAACAATAAATGAGTCTCAATTTTCGAACAAGTTCACCCAAGCAAAACCAGACACTTTTAATTCCTACTTTTAAACATTCGTTTCGAGCATGTGTATTGTATGTAACTGCAAAAGTGTGTCAAACAGGGCGTATTTTAAGTAGTTAACATATCAGAGTTCACATATATATACGACAACCGTATGCAAAATCATATAAAAACTGCCGACATGGCTTTTGTTAAGATATCACGACATTTGCATGCAAGCCTGTAAATAATTCTTGTCATGCAAACCAACAAATTTCAGTTTGCACCACTCTTCATTGAAGTGCTGTTTACGTATATGCATTGACATTTAAATGCGTATTGAGCCGGACTATTTTTCTGCTTTATATTGTCTATGATAAAAGCTCTCAAATACGGTCGTTTCCCATCAGTTCTTAAAAATAATGACGTTCTGTCACATGACCGTTCTTACGTCTGTCTGAAATAACTGTCGATTGCAATTACTTTAATATTTCTTCTAATAATCTGCAAAATAGAAATGAAAATTTTATGTTATACGTAAGTTTGTTTTCAAGAGTGTTCCGTTCTTATCAATTCAATTCAACTTTATTCTCTTTCACAATACAATGTATAACATGTAGCTTTGGTTTAGTGTGTACATCACTCTGCCATTTCTGTAAATACTGGTCGTGCAATCTTTGTTTTGATAACATGCTTTAGCATATTCTTCCGTTCTTATCTGATTTTGCATTCTAAGTTAGCGAATGACTAATCCCTCCATTGTATCAAAACAAACTGTCATACAGGTATACACCTACTGGGACTGACTCATATCGTTGATGCAATTTGTGTCACGGTTGGATGCGGTTACCTGTAGATAAGTATAGATCACCGATAATTTACCTGTATAAAAGCTGCCCAATAATATAACGAGTTCCGAAAATTTAAGCGCCATTTTAAACTACTATATCATGATATAGGTATTCCATCCTCAGCGTCGTTTTGACCGCTAATGTTGTTTGATTCAATTCTTCTGGAAGCAAACTTTACACAACTGCGATTTAATGTTGAGTTATGTTGCAGATATAGATGTATTTAGTATTTTGCATGTATGTAAATTTAGATAAACGTCTCAGTGTAGCTTGAGAGCGGATCGACGTTACTTTGTACACTGATATTGAATTATTTTGAGGTCAAATGCAGCCTTCCAAAAGCTATAATAATATGGAAGTGAAAACAAAACCGTTATTCAAAGTCAAAGAAGAAAAAAATAGATTTATTTTGCAAAGTGACACTAGGAGTAGTCACGAATAAAAAAAATGTGTCTTGCTTATCATTCAAATTACAAATACGTCCTATGTTGACTATAGTGTTAGTAAAGATTATGTTAAGCGACCGGTACAGAAAAAAACTGTAAATGTGCTTATTTCCCAATCCAGACGGTATGTACAATAGATGTGATTAAATATAATACATCGTCGATAAACATTATATCTGCAAAATATTTATGAAAAGACACTAAAATGAGGAAAAAATATAGTAATTATACTTGCAGTGTACGTATCTGCAACAGATTTTTAAGACTTGAAAGCGTCGTAAAATATTGTTATTATAACTGCAGTGTTTGCATCTTCAACGGAATTTATGAACTTGAAAGTAGGGAAAATGTTGTAAGTTTATTACGTTCGTGGCCTTTTTTATTTTATTTTTTTTGAGTAAAACGAGTCTCTTTTCATATATGTGATACATATGAAAAAAATGCCCTTGTGTTGGGCGGAACATAAATGAGTCCCATTTTCCGAACAAGGTCACAAAAACACTCCAATTTTTTTCAATAACCATAACTATAAACATTCCTTTCGGGCAAGGGTATTATGTGTGACTGCAAAAGTTTCTCATGCATGGTGCATATAAAGTAGTATACATAATTCAGGTATTCGCCGATCGCATGAAAAAACATAAAACATACCGACATAGATTTTGTTAAGACATCGCGACATTTGAATACAAATCTGTAAATATCACATGTCGTACACACCAATAAATTGGAGGCTTTCACTACTCTTCATTGAAGTGTTCTTCACGTGTATACATCGACCTGTAAATGCATATTGAGATAAACTGTTTTCTTCTGATGAATATTGTCAATGTTAAAATTTCAAATCCCATCTTTCGTTTACAACTGCTGACGCTCTGTCACATGATCATTCTGAGTTTGAGAACTCGCTCGCCCTACCTAGCTGCATGTTGAGTAAGGTAGGTACAACATTGGATTTGTAATGGTCAGTCAGTTCAGAAATATACAACATTAAATGAAATCTTTATTTAAAGAATCTTTTAATTTCAAAACTTTAGATTAAAAAATATCTGGCAAAATGCTTGACTCGGTAAAAAATTATTTGCAACGTCTTTGAATAAGTTAAATTATTTTGCAAAGAACGTGAAGAAGTTAAACTACGACAACATAGGATAAATCTGGGTTTTATAAATATACTCTTACATAGAGAAAATAGAAAACACAAGTTTTAACAATTTAGGAAACTGTTTTATTAATAACTCAGTCCATCTGTTCATAAATAAATCACGATAGTCGGTCTAATTACATAATCTCTTTTAAATTAAAACACTGTATTTTCCTTCTCGCTTGCTGCTTAAAATCTTACAAAAAAACAATTGTTTATAAAGAAGTTCGCAAAGAAAATTAAATAGTGAAATATCGGATTCCCTCAACTTGATAAAACTGATATCGTTCACACTGACAAATATCAGGTTATATTTTCACAAATGAAAATATAACTTTTTGATATTGACTAATCATAACGGCATCTTCTATTCGCTTTTAATACTATAGAGATAATCAGATTACAAATGATGCAAATCATATTTCAAGATTCAGGCGATTTCTAACATCAAGATTTTACGTACACCATTTGAAGAGCCGAGTGAATCAAGACATCAAGTTATTATGACTGCATCATGGCCTTGATCAGTTTCCCACAGATTCAATATGCAAATTGCATCCATATGGCGTAGTCCTTCCAGAACATTTTGTGTAATGCTAACATATTACATTATAGCATGTCTCTATACACCGACATTTACACTGGAATATATAATGTCACTGTCGATATGACGTTCTATTAAATACCATCTGTATTAAACACGTCGGGATCGAAACGTGAGAATAACCTCATGACGTAAGATCTTGATTAGGTCGAGCAAAATATCGTAACATATTTAATTTAATTTATTATTTATTCATTTATTATTATTTTTTGTGTTAAGACGAACTCTACTTTTACTCTTGTTTTTTAAAACATCTGTTATATATATTGCATATCCGATACTGCATTAAATGTCGCATCAGTGGTCGTGACATCGTTTATAAAATATATTTGATATATTAATACTTGTATTCAAAATGCCGCAAACCGGTTTTATGATTGAATCCGGGTTTGTCTGCTTCATTTATAAATATATAATTGCTTTTGCAGTTTCTAATAAGTAAAGGAACACATTTTAACACACCTTTGCTTTGTGTTGTCTGGTATATAGCTGCCATCATCAAAGTATGCACTGCGATGTCATTTATTATTCAGAGCCTTAAGACCTTAATCTTGTGTGCCTCCTGAATTTTAAAATGTTTTGAATAAATATTTCGTAATACCCCGGTCACATGACACAGGTATGCAAGCTGTATTATTTCTGTTTTTTTAATCTGATGTGTGAGCTCAGGAAATACTGCGTCTCTGGAAAAAGTAAGTAGTTGTAGATAATGGTTTATTGAAAATTTAAAAATATATAGAGGATATTTAATGGTGTCTTTAGTAATAACAAATATATTTCACGACTGTGGCTAATATTTTGATATTTTTCACGAGTGCGCAGACACTTATTACTAAAGACACCATTAAATATCCTCTATATATTTTTAAAGTTTTAAACACTTGACGTACACTGTATCCCATTCGATATTTTCTTTTGCGTAACCAGACGGTATTAAAATATAATTTTTACGCTGTGAAAATATCACTTGATATTTGTCACAGTGTGAAAGATATCAGTTTATCAAGTTGATAGAATCCGATATTTCCCTGGTAAAATGTAAAAAATATATATCTCAATATCAACATTGATTTTGCTGAAGGGGAAGGCCGGACTCATACCGTGTATCGATTTCACATACTTGTCACCATCCATATAAGCTGGTTAAATTTGTTTTTATCTTTACATTTGAGTTTATAAATTGTAAAAGTACAAAAAGATGGTCCGTTACGTCTAACAAGCCCGGTCTCAGTCAAGTGGTTTTAATCAACTTTATCGGGTCTAGCGTTGCGCTCTTTGAACACCTTTTAATTTATGTTCTAAGCCTTGTGATTGACAGTTTTAACTATCTTTAACACTTGCCGTACACTGTATACCATTCGATATTTTCTTTTGCGTAACAAGATATAGTCAGAAAGTCTAGCTTTCATTTGATGTAGACAGTTACAACGTCGCTTTAACAAATACATGTGTTGAATACAATCAACAGGGAGATAGTTTATTTGCTTTACCAGCAGAAAACTGTAAACTGTTGTTTGTAAGATGACGTTTTTATTTGTTGAATATTTATGTACGTCATCAATCTTGCAATTTTATTTTGTATCATCTTGTGTTTTAAATCAAAATAAAATGTAATTCAATATTTTTTTATTATGGATAATCATGTGTAATTATTAATTCTTTTAAGGCATTTTCACGTCAGTAATGCAGTTAACATCAGCACGGGATTTATTTTAATGAACACAACTTTATGACAAGAGGGGAAAATAATCTAAATTGAAAATAAAGTGTATCCATGGACATTCAGCATGTTGTTGTCATCATGGCTGTCATGTGATAATTTAATAGAATGATACGCCCTTCTTTTGCAGTAAAATACAACTTAAATATATTGCACAATTATTATTGCAGATAACTTCTATTCTGTACATGAAGATAATGAGGGTCATGTTTACCTTGCTGATGTTGGCAGTTGTCTCCCCTTGCTGTGTTTTGGGATTCTCATCCTACCAGACACTTATTCCAAATGGAGGTATGATCCGTGACCCTTGTGATGGACAGACCATATGGCAAGGCGTTGGTCATCAGGCTATGGATGGTGCTGGGCCCAGGAACCCTTTCGGAGTTGACTTCTACAATAATGGGAGGGTAAGGATAATTTTCAATGAATTTGGTAAAAATATAAGTTGAATTCTTTGGATTCTCTTGATTTACCGGCATTAGGTCTGTTTTCATCTTCCGTGTTTTAAAACGAATACAGTGGACAGCTGTTGATCTGGTATCATGAAAATATATGTTAAAACCTTATATTGAATGAACAGGTATTTATCGCACGATGAAGATGTAGTCTTACTCCGGTAGCATTTCCTTTAGATATTGTAGAACATAATTCCTTGTTAAGAGGCAAGAAATATTGTCTTGTTGGTTTCATTTTGGATCTCAAGAAGTTAATAACCGTTAGTTTGTTTGTTTGTTTGATTTTGTTTAACGTCCTATTAACAGCTAAGGTCATTTAAGGACGGCCTCCCCTGTGTGCAAGATGCATGCGTGTAGTGTATGTGTGTGTATTTTGGGAGGCTGCGATATGTTCGTGTTTGTCTCCTTGTGATAGCGCGGAACTGATGCCGACTGACGAACCTGATAAGTTTTTACCCACTCTGAGAATAATTCCAGTTCAGTATGGTCGCGTTTTGTCACATTCCAACTGATGCTAAAAGTGTTCCAATATTTTGTACCCAAAAGGAAACGCTGAAGGATGAGTTATTCATATGTTTAATTGAACTGTTGAAGTATTTGCTTATAGCTAAAAAAAAATGGAATTTGTATTGTGACTCTGGCAGTCTTGAGGAATTAAAAAGAAAATTTATTTTTAATCTGATGTTCCCATGACGTAACTAAAAGAGCAAGAACAAAGGTTTGGGACCTATCAAAGTGTATAAATAAATGTGGGACCATCATGATCTATAGATGAATAATTGTATTTGCTATTTGATATATAGTTGCCCGGTAAATAACATATTTTATGCGTGTAGCAATACGCAAGACAAAGAAGTTTTAGTTTTGTTTACTACATAAATGTATGTAGTACATACATGAACAATGTAATAAACATCCTTTGATAAAGTACATTGCAATAAGATACAATAGCGCATCATGTTGCCAATACCCCCATCGCTAAAATATGTGCTTAATTGAAAGAAACAACCGGGACTTTATGATCATAGGCCGCTTACGTGACAACCCGCCTTCACAAGATGTACCATTATACCAACTTTGATTATCGCAGGTGAAATAATGTAGGCGATATACTCCATACAGGCAGGATTGCATTACTTGCTTGACAGTGGCCTATCATTTTATATGACGCTCCACCTTCTCGCGAAGTACATGCACCAGAGTACCAGGTCCGATTAGCCCATGTACAATAATATGGGGAATATACTTCGGACGACGCCTCGGTCGTCGGACGTACAAAGGCGCGTCGCAAGTGCTGAATGAAATAGGTGCCAACTCAAATTATTGCATAATATATTCATCATATAATGTCAATGTTTCTCTGCGTTATAACAGAAATGGAACCGTACCATGTGTGAGATGGACTCAGATGGAGATGGAATCTCGAACGGGGCTGAGCTTGGTGACCCCCTCTGTGTATGGAATCCGGGTTCGAATCCAACTAACACGCCCACTGGTCATCCTGGTATGTTAACATATATTGATAATCTATGTCCAGTGGGGAACAACAACGTGGGATACATACGTGTATCCTACATAGATGCAGTCAGCAATCTGTACTATTATGACAGATGAAGGCTTTTTTATTATGACGTCACAATTTCAAACGCCGTAAAATGTCGTTCGACTGACTGTGGCAATCATGCCGTCGGCAAATTAGACTACCTCAAGAACATTTGTTGTACAAGCTTGCCCTGAGGGTCTTGCATGAATTCTACGGTATAACGTAACGCTTTCTGGTTACTCAAAGATAGCTTTAGTTTATAAATACCTTATCAAGTACGTTTGCCATATTAAGTGCTGAATTTATTTCGTATATGCCCTGTTTTACTCAAATTACGGTTAAAAGATGGGGGGAAACAGCCAACCATTATATAGGTACCGTTGAATGTCTACCATCGGGTGCAGAATTTGGTGACCCAAATTCTACACACTTGGGTTGAATATCAATATTCAACCGTTCTTCATATGCTAGACTTTATTAGTATTAAATTACTTTAAGTTGCTTGTCTTTAATACGTTCGAGGCATGTCTAACGCAATAGTTAATGCATTGTCATGAGAGATAACCATGTCAGAACAATATGTGCTGTTACAGGAGTATGTGAACCATGGAGCGATCCGATGTGCTTACAAAAGAATACGTTTCATATTTGCCAAACACAGGAACTCGAGTGTGACGCCATCAACAGTCCGGGTAGGTTGACGAATTGTCAATACATCACATTACTACGATACTGTAGTTGTTGTTATATGCATATTATATTTTAGTCAAAACATGCTTCATTATTATCCCATAATTACATTTAATTTGTCAACAATGCGGATGAAACGACGTCAAAGCAGGAAACATAATTACCATATCATAAAATGGCACTCAGGAGCTCGTATCATATCGTGGTCTGGAAGCATGCTGTATCAATATGAATTATTATTATTATTAGCATCAATGCTAAACGGCCCATCAACACAGGAGATAGGTTATTAGGGCCAACATATGGCCGACAAAAACAAATGCAAAATAAAAAAATACACTCAAATTTTATTAAATAGATCGACAGCTTTCAGATTGAAGAGACAGTTATGTTTTCGAAAAGAGATGTAAGATATGTAATGTTATTATAGATTTATTTTGAGTTGACTGAAAGTCTAATCTAATAACAAGTACTTTACTGCAAATGGTCCCTAACAGGCTATGCATTGCGGCTGGACTTAACGTTTTAATAAATAACAATGGGGAATGTATGAATGACTCAACCTCGTCTCGGCGCCTCTCTTTGTAGCTAGGATTCTATTCACCGATTTCAGGTTTGATAGATGTAATTTGTTATCGACGCATTGATTCCAATTATTTTGCCACTGTGATCGTATAAACGATGTAATTAGTGATTTAAAATCAGTAAAATGAAGTTTAAAATCTGCAGGTGGTACATATGTACAAGTAGTAATAGTGCTGCTTTCGCGGCACGATCGTCCTTTTCATTACCTGGTATCCCCACAAGTCCGGGAATCAATTTGTTGTTGCAAAGGCTATTAAGAACAGATAGAGAATCCGAATAGATAACTGATTGCGGTACGTCATTTGATTTAATGTGCTCAAGGCCGAGATAAATAGCATGGGCTTCTGTGGAGAATATTGACGCATCATTGGGCAGCCGGCATCCAGCAGTAGCATCTTTCGCTACAATCGCCGGGGCAACTTTATGATCATCTTTCGTGACGTCAGTATAAAACGGCTGAAAGTGCCTATATTTTAACTGCAGTTTGAGAAATTTGAACGAACAAAGCAAGATTCGGTATCAGATTTGGATGTCTCATGAAACGAGAGATCAACATCAGGTTAAACCAGAAGCTAGGGAGGAATATCAATCGTTACAAATGATTGGATTGTGTCGATATTGATTTGGGTATTTTCCAGAAGGAATGAAATTCGAAAACCAAAGGTTGGAATAGAGTTTGGTTTATTTTGAAATAGAGCCCTGTAATTTGGATTGAAAACTAGTGAATAGACTGGATTTGAAGGGTTTGACTTTGACTGCATATTGCAACGATAATTTCTCTCGGCGATTATATAATGATGGTTCGTTTCCTTCCACGTAAAGACTTACAGATGGTGTGGCTTTGAACGCTCCAAGTGCAAGTCTCGGGCCCTGGTGATGTACAGTGTCAAGTAATTTTAATTATGACTTTCTTGCCGATCCATAAACAATGGATCCATAATCCAGTTTAGATGTAAGTGCTCTATAGATTCTTAGCAATACTTTCCTATCAGCGCCCCAATCAGTATGGGCTATTACCTTTAAAATGTTAAGAACCTTAACGCATTTTGCCTTAAAGTACTTGATATGAGGAAGGAACGATAATTTTCTATCAAATATAACGCTTTCTTTTGAAAGGCCTCGTGCACAAAGGATTCAAGTCTAACCAAATTTTAACAACAATTTCCGAAGTGAAAATGGTTGATTGTAAAGTTCGTTGTTGTTTGAGGGGAATTTTAAATGTACCTTGTCTTTAGACGTTTTAATTTTTTGAAATTTGTTTGAGTGGTTTTCGGTTGATGAATTTTTGGCAAAAACAGAACCTTAAGCATTTGCAATATCGAACTTTGTTGTAATTATTTTACCTTTTGTTTTGAGATGTCCCGTGGTTTTAAGTGATCTTTTACTACCAATCCTTCTGACTATATCCCAAACGTTTTTGGACACAATACACGAAGAAAGATTCACCGGGTATATATATCTGATATAAAATGGCCGTAAGCATTTTACCGCGTATAATAAGGAAGAGTACTTAGTGAGTTCAAAAGTTTTTTTTCAAATATCAGCTCAGAATTTCAAAATCAATCAGCAAACGAAAATTTGCAGCAACGTGTATCGGTGTGAAAATAGTTACGGAGTTTTTCTTTTGTATGGACACTGCCGGTCATCATAGTTTTAAGTAAAATGACTGAAGCAGGGGGCAGAGTTCGGAACCCGTTTAAAATTATAATCGGTCGTAATCATGCCATACGAGTGAGCTACAATGTATAATAGTTAAACATTATTTAAAAAAGCAATACCAACGGACATGTGGTGGAAAGTCAGACGTACGAGTGAAATAGATGATATGAATAATTTAATAGCCTGTATTCCTTTCACCTAAATAAGTGTTTGTGGTTTAACAACTACTTTTGACTGTTAAGTATACACTTTTAAATTGAGAATGCATTCATCCAAAATCTTCATTCCAAGTGCTAGACATCATTGATATTGATAATTTTAAGAATGTCTCCTTATCGCTTTAAGAGATATTTTGTTGTGTTTTGCTGTAGACGTCCAAGAGTTCCGTGTCACCTTTCCAAGTACAGACGTTCCTGCACAGGAAACAACATATATGTGCATGAATTTTGCCTTGCCCGCAGACCAGGACTATCACGTGATCGCTGATAAAGGTTCAATTGACAATGAATTCGTCATGCATCACATACTTATTATCGCATGTGAAACTGGAGGTTGGTATCTATATTCAAATGTTTCAAACCTTGATCACAAACGGGTGCATGTAAAATAGTTTATGGACATTATAGTTTGAAACTCGGAGAGCGGATGCAAGAGGTTTACTCGTGCATATTTGGTACATTATTTTTTCATATAAATGTATGTTGTCCCTTTGTGCCTTCTAAAACAAATGTGTTATCTCCCTTATACTGGTTGTTGTAAAGATTTTGTTTAAAAGGGATGTATTTTGCTGTACCTGTATTTTGAAACGCAATACAATATTAGAAAAGAACTGATTTTACAATCAACAAACAACGAATATGTAAACAAATACTCCTAGCAATACGATCAATGACCGTAACTTACTCAAATAAAGTGCAAATAGTGAAACAGAAGATCAATTCATGGTGTCATGTTTCCACATGATTATGAAAAACATGTTTACATAATATGAGATTATGTCGAAATTATGTGTCGGTATAACATCGCAATTCAAAAGTTTAAAAGATAATTATCATTTTAGTGGTTACTCAACCTGGTAAGTAACTTAATCTGTAAAAAACATTATACACATTTATGATGAATTAACACAGATCCGTCAGATTTGAGCCGATTTAGATAAATAAATAAATAAGAAATGCAAGCATATATTGACGCAAACAAAGACAAGAAAAAATTAAACAGAAAGCATCATGAAACACAAGGAAACACAAAACCATTCTCGAACGTTCCATCATCTTCATTTCAATCACGTATGCATGAATGTGAAAAAGATTACTGTATAGCACTTTAAATTCGCGCGGTCAATATTCTCGTAGCCAGTACATATTCGCGGGGGTTTAATTCCGCTGTGCACCCGAATCCCATATGCCGTGCAAAGTATTTGGAGTGTCATCATTTAAGGGTTGAATCTCGAAATACATGTAAACCGGGTAAAGACACTGATCCCGAGCATTGTCATCCGCCAGTGACTTCACTCGAAAGAAAATCAAATGTGAATGTACCTTTGAAGGAGTAAACTGTAATCAGTTAACCACCAACTGTGTTCACATCAATATAATGAGGCCACTTTTAATGTGTTAGTGTTGTTTTTACATGGACTGTTCAGTTGTCCACTGATAATCTGATTTGAGTTCATTTAAGCTTGCATAACAGCGTTTGGTTATAAGTATTGGCAACGTGTTGTGATAAGGTCCGTAAAAGTGGTTTACATTTTCAGAAATTTCACTGATATTTAGAGTTCGCGGATATTAGTCAAAGTGCGAATGTAGCGAAATTAAAAAAGCCCGCGAATTATAAGTGCTATACAGTATGTACCACTTTAACTCATATTTTTCGGTGTGGATTTAATATAGCTGTCTATTCATTGGCCAGTGCTTGTATATATGTAACTATGGTAACTGATTACATACATTAATGTAACTATAGTAAAGGAGGCATGTATATACATGACATTTACTGTTTCTGTTTAAGGATGGACACTTGCAACAGCCTATTCCGTCTTTGCGTATTGCAGAGTTATCTTCTATTGGGAGCAGGTATTGATTGTTACGTCATTGGTTCGTGTGAGAAAATTACGTCGTTTTCTCAAAAATTGATGACCATACTCTCCCAAACAAGTGACGTAACAATCAATACCTGATCCCAAGAGAAGATAACTCTGCAATACGCAAAGACGGAATATATACGTCATGGTGTTTACCGTTCAACGGTATACATCACAATTCCAAGAGCATGGCATATGGCTACCTGGTGTAATACTCGTGTCTATACTTTAAACATTGAATTACACTGTTCTTGACACGCTTTGCATTGCAGTTGAATCCTATGATCTTGTCAATCCATTGAACACCCCTTATGTCTGTGGTATGGCGGGAGAACGTCAATGTCAGCAAATAATTGCCATGTGGTCCGTTGGCATATCTGGTGTCTGTCACAACGAAAACGCTGGTTTCAGGATTGGACCAACTGGATACAAATATGGGACAATGCAGGTACATATGTAGTTCAATAAAACGTACAAAGCAGAATATAACGTTTTCTTCTTACATGTAGAAGCTTGTTTCATATTTAAAGATTTAACATGCACGTTTATTGGCATTGTTTATGAGGTGTTTCCAATGTTTTTCACCTTTAATTAACAATAAACTAAATTATGTTTTTCTCTCTATAATTTTATAGATGCATTGGAACAATCCATCGTTGAGAAGTGATTACGAAGACAGCTCCGGAATGACCCTGTACTACACTCCAGTATTACGGCCTTATAATCTCGGAAACTTGATGATAGGAGAAAGGCAATTCAGTATCCCACCCGGAGAATCCCGTCATGTCATAGAGTCCGAGTGCAGTTCCACGTGCTCTGATCGAATCATGACAAGCTCTGTTTACATCATCACTGGTTTAAACCACATGCATTACATGGGTGGGTAGATATGTTCACCCTTTTAACTATTATTTTAACGAATAACTGTCTACAAGTGTATCAACGTATTTCACATATATATTGAATTATATCATGTTAAGTAATAACCATCCAGAAAACAAAATATGTGGAAGCGTTTGTATGTGCATATTAGAATATATGTGCAATGACACCGTATTAATTGGAAACATGCTAATGTATTACCACACGTCTTTCCATCTAAATGATCGAGATAAAGTGTTGATCAAGTGTGGACTATTTTATTCTTTATGTGTATTTTTCTGCGTTGTTACTATTAGGACTGGTTACTTTTTCTGTGTGGGTACTGTTTGTAATCGGTACTTTTTCTGTGAGGGTACTGTTTGTAATCGGTACTTTTTCTGTGAGGGTACTGTTTGTAATCGGTACTTTTTCTGTGTAGGTACTGTTTGAAATGGGTACTTTTTGTAGGGGCATTGTTTAGAATGGTTACCGTTCTGTTTGGGTGCTGTTTGTAATCGGTACTTTTTTGTAGGGGCATTGTTTAGAACGGTTACCGTCCTGTTTGGCTACTGTTTAGAAGGGGTACTTTTTGTAGGGGTATTGTTTAGAATGGTTACCGTTCTGTTTGGCTACTGTTTAGAATGGTTACCGTTCTGTTTGGCTACTGTTTAGAACGGTTACCGTTCTGTTTGGCTACTGTTTAGAATGGTTACCGTTCTGTTTGGCTACTGTTTAGAAGGGGTACTTTTATGTACAGATACGTTTTGTAATGGGTACTTTTTCTGCATGAGTACTGTTAGAAATAGGTCCTTTTTTGTATGGGTACTGTTTGGAACGGATAATGTTTTGTTCCTTACTTCAGTACGCTGTTAATGCCAATGTGGCGGCGACAAATAAATATAATGAACGCTTTATAATATTAGTTTCTAAACTACAGAAAGACTTAGAGTGCATACATGTATATGTTTGTAAATGTAAAATGGACTCAAAACATGTAGGACACAAATGTAATTGTTAACGGCTAGATTCGAGTGCAAATCTCTTAGAACGACCACGTTATCATTCCGCACAGTATATGCAAATTTGGGTTTCATCATTCATTTCTATCAGATAAACTGACCACTCTCTTTTTATCAAATGAAAATGTTAACCTTTTCTAGTTTCACTGAGGTTGTGGTTACGTTTTTGCTTTATAGGAAGAGAAATGACTACTTTCCATACTCCTGCTGGTGGTGTGGAGCGGGCCATAGTGGCTGACCCTCATTATAGTTATGATAACCCTGTAATCCACACGTAAGTATTACCAAAGTTAGATACGTCACAAAATATTGTTCAGTTACAAATATTCTGCATGTTTGTTTTCGCCTTCAAATCATATCATGCGATGCACTAAATGCTCTTTAATGTGAAGTTAAAACGGTAACGTTAGTACCAAGCACAGATAACGTGTTTGATTAGCAATGTGACATTTGAATTATGACGTAGATATATTGATGATAGTTATAATTGATAAGGAATCACCATCGTTTCTTCATAAATTCAACTTATTATATTGTTTGAATTAGTGTGGTGATTGTATTTCATTGTGTTTAAAAAATCTTTTGCATGATAGATAAAAACATCCCATAAATAGTTCTAGTCATGTTGTATTTGGAATCATGTGCATTTCCCCGACTGTCAAAATAACGGTGCAAGCCACACCATATGAAAATGTGTTTCCCCCTAGAGATGTATAAACAAGAACACATGTTTCGCGTTTAATGAACATATCACCAATTTTATTTTTCCATCGACGTAACGTCATCTAAACAGTTTTGATGGAACTGTTCTTGGCGGTGTCACGTTCTGCTGCTTGCGCCGCAATCATATCAATATGTTGGTTATACATAAAACAAAGAGAAAATCATGATAATCATTTTCATATTTAACCAATGTGGCCCGATAACAATGATGATAATAAAACAATATTGAAAAAACTTGCTATCAGTAATAATTAATGAAACGTTACCAGGTCATATTCGGCAATCCTCTGAACTACTTCAAGTCACGTCAATGAAAATTTTTTCCGAACTAAAAACTTTTCCGTTGCAGTTTCCAGACTCCATTGGAAGTCAAGCCTGGCGACGTGTTAAGTTCAAAATGTTCTTACACCTCATCACAAAAAAACAAAACAACCTTCAGCGGAGAAGCAACTTCTCAGGAAATGTGTTACGCATTTTTGCTTTACTATCCAAAAGAATCTATCAAGTCACCCCGTTGCCTTACCGTGATGGGTTTACCAAGTTGCTCCATAGATCATGAAGCTGACGTTTTAGACGGATGCCAACTCAAGTCTTTCCTGAACAACGCAGCGTTCTTTCAAGACATGTTTCTGGAGGTAGGTAAATTATATAATTAAAGAATCGGGTTTCTGGAGGTAGGTAAATTATATAATTAAAGAATCGGGTTTCTGGAGGTAGGTAAATTATATAATTAAAGAATCGGGTTTCTGGAGGTAGGTAAATTATATAATTAAAGAATCGTGTTTCTGGAGGTAGGTAAATTATATAATTAAAGAATCGTGTTTCTGGAGGTAGGTAAATTATATAATTAAAGAATCGGGTTTCTGGAGGTAGGTAAATTATATAATTAAAGAATCGGGTTTCTGGAGGTAGGTAAATTATATAATTAAAGAATCGGGTTTCTGGAGGTAGGTAAATTATATAATTAAAGAATCGTGTTTAGGCCATTGAGAGGTTTCACCAACATGGGAATAAGTTAAAAAGTATACATTATCTCACTCCTCCTATAAGCGCAGAACCCCCCTTTAAGTTTTATGTTTTAATTGTTCCGTTACAACACCAAGTAACTATCACTTCCATTGATCGTTATCATTTGTAAACGATTCGAACATGCCTATCAAACCAATCAGGTTATGAGATTAATAGTATCTACATAAGCAGGAAACATGTACCCCCTTCTACAAAAGTCTTTTATAACGTGACGCCTGTAACTTTAGAATGTGTTCAGTCAAGCAATAAACAACTTAGCCATGGTCTCTTACTTGAAAAACAAAAATCTAGTGACACCATAATCTTATTTCCAAGAAATCTAGTTCAATGTGTCCTATACTCTTTTTGATTTCGAGACATTCCTTACTATGACGGATACTACATGTATTTGTGGTGAACTTTCTAATGCACAAGATTTAAAAAAAAAAGATATGTTAAGGGCTTACTTTTGCTCTTATGTTCCGTGGAAGTTCAGCACATCAGACGTCATCAAAAGCTTGATTTTCAACATGTTTATTTTTCTGTGCATGTATTTTCAGCTTATTCAGTGATGTGAACCCCTCACATTCTCGAGTGTTTTTCCAGTGTGTGTGTATGTGGTTGTGAGCGTATTTTTGATGTCATAATTTTCGTTTTGATGCCTCGTGAAAGTTCAGCAATACATTTATTATTCTCTCCGTGTATTTTGTAGCTTACTCAACGATGTGAAAACTTCATATGCCGCAAGGAATGCAAAACCTACATCCATGAATTAAGACAGAACCCCTGTTTACAAGGCAAGGTAAAAGCTTATGTCGAGCGTGTGGTCAGCTTTCGTGCCAGTGTAAATGAGATGGCCCTCTACCATTCATGTAATGCCGAGCTCGCTCTTGAGGCTGTAGGACCGTGCACATGTACAACAGAGCCACTGGGGCGATGTGTAGAGTACACTGGAGCGGCTGTTTCTCAACAGACGTCGCTTTATCTGCTTCTGGTAGCGATGACTACAATACATTCATTTTAATACAAATGTTTCTCTCTTGATGTGACAACTTCTTTATGTACAATTCGTCATTATAGATGAACATTAAAACAATTTTAATTTCATGTCTCGTATTACGAAAAACGCCGAAGTACCCAATAAAGACCTTAAGAATTCGGAGAAATAATTTAATTTTGCCTATCTCCTCCATATTATTTGTTTTGATATGTATCGTGTATACCTAAAAAGAAAAACAACTGATGACGGAACTACTTTTTACACTTCAGAATGCAAATTAACAACGCAGCTTTTTTTAGCGCAATTGTTTAGTTTACGTAAAAATTAAATAAATCTTCAACTGTGCATTTACAACGTGTTTGTCTACATTTTTCAAATTGAATTATAAAGAATGCCCAAGATTTTGATTTGTTATATACGGTAAATCCTCAATAACTTCTTCTGAAGTATCTTGCCTGACGTCCTTTTCGTGTCTATCTCCGACATCTCTGACTGTATTATCCACTAATCCTCTCCCATCCGTTGAGAGCTGGTCGTCACCAGGTGAATCAGCGACCACCACAGGAGTACCAAGATCGTCATCCGGCTCCTGTGTTGTCAAATCTTCCACATGGTTGTCCGAAATCCTACTGTTGACGTTAACGTATGCCGAACTATTATTTCATTTGCAATTGACAACAAAAGAGGATCAACAAATATACATTTATTTACATCTATATAAGCATACTCTTTCATACTCACTAATACCTCTCATACAATGATAACATTCAATACATTTATTAGACAGAGCATATAAACATACGTAAATGGGGCGGTTTCTATCCAAGCAGCCTAACCCAGATCTTGGGGTTCATTGGGGTCTATAAATTGATGGACATGAAGTATGACAAATGAACATGGACTCAAGGATATAAACTTCAATATCTTTTATTCAACACAACAAGGTAAAGTAATAGCAGTACAGTACACGATAACATATATCTCACCCACTCACGCACCCTATACAACACCGTTCATTAACACTAGTGGCTACGAGGCATAATCCTACACTGCTTGCTATATGCATAGACGACGGACTCTACATTGGAATTCTATATAGACAGATGTACAGACTACTTCCTTACTCTAACGCTAAACATTACTGCTGGCTCTACATTATTACCTAACGAGTCCTAGAAAGGAAGAGAAAGAGAGAGTCGGGCAGTCTCACAAGGACTTTACTTCTGACCGACAAACTATCCAAAACCACCGCTTTATATAGACAGAATACGGCAAACTGCACGTGCATAATTCCCGCTAAAGCTACTCGGGACACTTCCAGTTACGTAACTAGGTTCCAAATGTGAAAACAACAAGATGGACGACGAAACGTAGTGAACTGTCAATTGTAAATATCGAATGTTAAGTATCCGAATTATCTCCACTTTTACAAGATAAATGTTCAAACATTTGGCAATACCTACAAAATTTGAAAACTTGATCGCTTAATGATTGTTATGCAAAACTCACTTCAATAACTCACTCAGTACAGTGTACAATCACGGGCTAACTTTACAACCGCAGAGTACAACATTGAAAGTTCGATCAAATCACACACATTTATAAAGCTCTGCCCACACAGTTCCAACTAAATATTGGACTTCAAGAAAAATGTCATTTACATGAGGTATACAATTATATACAACAACAAATATACTGATTCACTCCATAAACTATTAGTATGCCACTTAAATCAATACACTCCTTATACAATTAAATCAATGTGGCATTCCATCACAATAATAATACACCAAAATTTGCACAATTTATAACAATTAATCCAACATTTACATTATATAGACATCTCCGGTTACATCATTTGCAAAATTAATTCAACAATTTCTCTGGTACTTTAATGTGACCGGGTGGGGCGTCCTGCTGGGCGTCTTCGGCAGTATGTTTTAGTGAGGTAGCACTATAAAGTCGGCATCCGTTCCGCGCTATCACAAGGAGACAAACACGAACATATCGCAGCCTCCCAAAATACATACACTACATGCATGCATCTTGCACACAGGGGAGGCCGTCCTTAAATGACCTTAGCTGTTAATAGGACGTGAAACAAAATCAAACAAACAAACTTGAGGCTTTTGAAGTAAAACCAATTTTTCTTGATGTAATACTTACCATAACTTTAGTATGCATATACAATACCTACACCCATCTTTGTAGCCCAAAAACAAAAGATTCAAATATCCCTACCTCCCTACCGTGACGTAACCCATATCTCGATGACAGAGCCACGGAGTGATCTCCCTTCCTCAAACCCCCTTTTATGGAGCCTAAAGGCAGCCAGGATGAGGAGGCAAGGGGAGGAATACAGGGTGGGACTCCATAAAGTTATGGTAAGTATTACATCATGAAAATTGGTTTTACTTCAAAAACCTCAATTTCATTTCAGTAATAATTACCATAACTTTAGTATGCGAATTCGTCTTACCGTAGTGGAGGCTTCGAATCCAGGCAGACCAGGCTGACGGAACAAACTCGAGACATGCTCAAGGTAGGGAAAAGGTTCAAGGAACCCCCCTAATAAAGCCCCGAAAGTAATTAAAAAATGGAAAACCTCCCCGTGAAACGAGCAGGTGTACCACCGTGGTGCCTGATAGCATACTATTTAAAATCACTGAATTACTGTGGAGGAACAGCCACAGACTGTGCAACCACCACCGGTCCAAGGGAATACAATCCATCAGAATGAGAGGCCAAGGACCGGAGATAAAAATCCGTGAAGGTAGTCTGTCCGCGCCAGAAAGCTGCGGACATGACCTCCTGAAAGGGGGACCCATTGAGGAGGGCCCATGACGCAGCAAGGGCCCTGATCTCATG